CTAGTTATGCCTAAATCAAGATCATTAATGAATATAACAAACAGCAGAGGGCCTAATACAGATCCTGGGGAACTCCGCTTTTAACGCACCCCAGTCTGACTTTTAATCCATTTATGCTGATCTTTGTTTCCTACCAGTTAACCATGACCTAATCCATTTTAATACTGATCCACCTATTCCATGTGCTTCTGCCTTCATATTATCAATCTCTCATGAGGACTCTATCGAATGCTTTACTGAAATCTAAATAAATTATATCATATGACTTATCATTATCTACCGCTTCATATACTTCTGAAAAAGTTAAGCAAATTTGGCAGGAACAAAACGTCCCTGGGTGAACCCGTGTAGAAGAATGAATAAGTTGAATGTTTCAAGGTGGCTTCTGATTTTGTAGCAATAATTGACTCTAGCAACTTGCCTGTGATTGACGTGAGACTAATGGGGCCCGGTAATTTGATGCTATTGATTTATCACCCTTTTGAAAATCGGAACTACATTTGCAAGTTTTAACTTCTGGCACTAGGCCCATTCTAATGACTTATTAAATAAAACTGCTAATGGATTACTCAACTCATCTCTACATTCTTTTAATATTCTAGCATATGCCTCGTCTGGACCAGGCGATTTATGAAACTTCAGTTTGTTAATTACTTTTAAGCACATCGTTACTAGTAATATTGATATTCATCAACATATTTTCCTATACTGTCATTATATACCTTATGAACTGGAAACTGTGCTAGGTTTTTCATTTGTGAATCGGAGCGAAAAATGACTATTTAACGTACACATTTCAGTCATTTCTCCTGTACGTGATTTAAAGGGACCTATTGTATCTCTAACCTTTGATTTATACAGTTGATAAAAGCTTTGGGGTTATTTTCGATTCGTTTGCTACCTTGATTTCATAATTTCTCTTTGCTTTCCCTAATTTCTGTTTTACCTGTCTTGTTAGGTTCTGATAGTAACCAAGTAAGTGATTTCACCTTTCTTAACTTTTCTATATACTCCTTTCTTTTTTTTCCCTAGAAGATCTAGAGTCCTAGTATTCATCCATTTTGGTTGGTTTTCCTCGATCTGAATTTTCTTTTAAGGATGTGTTTATTTTGGGCATTATTGATTATGCATAATAAATTGTTCATAAGTAGCTGCTAAATTAAATTGAGGTTATCCGTCCTAAGTTGACAGTTTCAGAGGGTCAATGAGAGGATTAATCTTTTGACCATAGGGTCATCCCTTAGGTCTCTCCTTAAGCTACCGTGAAATTAGCCTTCTAAATCAGGATCAAAGGCCGAATTTTTCTCTTCCTGCCATTCCATATTATGTTAAAATATATGGCTTTATGATCACTGTTTCCTAGTTCGTCTCCAATCCCAACATCTTTTACTAGATTTTCATTATTACTGAGAACTAAATCGAGGATAGTATTTCCTCTAGTGGGCGAGTTTATGAATTGATATAAAAAACTATCTTGTACTACTTCTAGAAAATCTTCAGATTCATTATCGCTAAGTTGATTTTTCCAATCTAAGCCTGAAAAGTTGAAATCGTCTAGAATACATACATTGTTTCTATCAGATGCCTTCTTTATTTCCTCCCATAGCAATTTACCATCGTTCCTACTCAAATTAGGTGGTCTATATATAACACCAATGACTACGGACTCATTGCCCTCACCAGTCTCTACCCAAATACTTTCATTGTCGCTATTTGTTTTAATGTTTGATTTATTGCAGCTTTTTAATGACACCCTGATATACACTGCTACACCGCCCCCTCTCCTTCCTACTCTGTCAAATTTAAATAGGTTATATCCTGGAATATGAAATTCTGCTAAAAAATGTTTGTTGTTTGAATTTATCCATGTTTCCGTTATTGTAATTAAATTCATGTTCTTTACTAACAATGGCCCTGAGCTGGTCCATTTTGTTACACAGGCTTCTACTATTAGTATAATAAACACTCAATATATTTCTCCATTTCTATCTGTTTTATACTTATTACTTTGATGTTTGTTATTATGACTAACTATATTTTCAGCATTATCTACTTGTTTCGCTACTTCCCAGGACCTGCTTGTTTTTTGACTCCCATTTTCCGACCCTCTACTGGCGAACCCCCTTCGAGTGACACTACCGCCCAGGATGCAGACAAACGTCTTTAATTCTCACGAGAATAGTATTCGTCGCGACAGTACAGGTAGTCGCTGCCATAAAATCGTTGCCAGTTATCAATGAATGCCCAACTATTGTTTCCACAATGTTTTTCCAGTCGGCAATTAATAGCAATTGCCCTGGACAGCCATTCACGACCAACCCCTCTTCTAGGCAAGACACCACACACTATCGGGATCCCTCCCCTATCTCTAATCTTCCCCAGCGCCTCCCTATACCTCTTGAAAAGTTCCTCACTCCTAACCTTACCTATGTCGTTTCCTCCCACACTTAGACACACTACTGGATTGGTACCCTCCCCTGACAAAACTCTGTCTAACCTCTCGGCTACATGCCCTATCCCAGCCCCAGGAAAACACACCCTAGTCCTACGTTTCCTATCTCTCCCACAAAAAGCCCTATCCATAAACCTCACCTGGCTGTCACCAACTACCACGACCTTACCTGTGGGCAGGGTTTGTACAACTGCCCTTTCCTCTCCTTGATCCATACCGTCCTGCCTCTTCTCTTCCTCTCCAGCTTCCTGCAGCACCTGGTAAGGGTTACTGCACTCCACACCCTGGTCAGCTTTCCTAAGCCTGACCCTAGTCCCCTTGGAGACAACCACTCTCCACGCCTGATCCTCCTTCGCAGGTGTCCTGCTAGGCAGGACACCTACCTGAAGGAGTTCCGTCCTGAGGGCTTCATTTTCCCCCTTTAGAGTGTCAACCTCACTCCTCAACGGGCGGTGCATGCCTCATGTGAGACAACGGCGATGGTGTGGATGAGCCGGCCGCTAGGGGAGACAACTGTCTAGATACACAATGTCTGTGGGAGTAGAGAGGGAGAAAAAGGGTGTGTGGAGGCGATGAATGTTGTGCTTCCCTCACGGCAGGTACAGAGTCGTCAGATGCGCCTGCGGGGGTGTGTGGGCCTGGGTCAGGAGCAGGGGCTGCGTCAGCAGAAGCGGATGAGGGCTCGTGACAGCAGCTGGGTCCACGACAGCAGCAGGGTGCAGGACATCAGCAGGGAGTACCTGAGGGAGAAAAGAGGGGTGTGTGGGTCCGCACTCAGGTGCATGGGCCGCGTCGGGAGCAGGGGCTGCATCAGGGGGAGCGGCAGGGGGTACTGCTGGGCCGGGGGCGGCGTCTGAGGCAGGACGGGTGTGCTGGGGTCGGTAGAACGTGGTGCTTGGGGCAGGAAGAGGAGCTGGTGTCTGCTTAGAGAAGCAGTGCTGCTCTAGGGTGTCTAACCTGCGGTGTAGAGACAGTAGCTGTAGAGCCGATGAGAGCTGCCTCTGCGTGGATAAGCCAGTCTTTCATGTTGCTTGAAGACTGGGAGCGTGATCTGTTTCTCCTCCATCCTGTGTGAGTGCGAATCTGCGGGGGTCACCATTTGTGGGGTATGAGGTGTTTGGGTTCACACTCAGGATGGGATGGAGAAAGGAAACTCACAATGTGCTCTCTTTATACATGTTGTATTGGATGTACAATGCAGCTTGGTGCTGGGAAGTGGCAGCGTAGTTACAAGCGTGATGTAGAGAGAGCTGGTTGGTGAGGATGCTCAGAGGAGGACAGCTTGTGGGTCGCCATGCTCGCTGGCGGGAGCGAGGGCCGCCAGGCAGCGGCGGAGGAGGAGGTGTTACTTGCTGCGGCTGTAGCTAGAAGAAGAGAGAGCTGGTTGGTAAGGGTGCTCAGAGGAGGACCAGCTTGTGGGTCGCCATGCTCTCCGGCGGGAGCGAGGACCGCCAGGCAGGCGGAGAAGGAGGTGTTGCTGGCTGGTTGGTGTAGGTAGAAAAGAGAGAGGTCACCACGAGGTCAGGTCTTAAATAGCGGGAGTAGGCGTGGCTTAGTAGTTGACCTCCGTGATGTATGGCGGCGCTGGTTGACCTAGACCACGAGGCACGCACTGTGGAATTCACGGGGTCGGCTACTCAGTGACAAACAGCGTTTAGAGAAATCCACTACACAGTATACAGATGTTTGAAGTGTAGTTGCATAAACATTATATAGATGTTTCAGCAAATTGTGAAGAAACATTATACAGATGTTTGAAGTGAAGTTGTAAAGAAACATTATATAGATGTTTATAGTTGTAAAGAAACATTATATAGATGTTTGAAGTGAAGCTGTAAAGAAACATTATACAGATGTTTGAAGTGTAGTTGTAAAAGAAACATTATACAGATGTTTAAAGTAAGCAAAAGAAAACATTATACAGATGTTTGAAGTAGAAGCAAAGAAACATTATACAGATGTTTGAAGGGAAGGTAAAGAAACATTATACAGATGTTTGAAGTGTAGTTGTAAAGAAACATTATATAGATGTTTGAAGTGTAGTTGCGGAAGAAACATTATATGATGTTTAGTGTATGTAAAGAAACAATATACAGATGTTTGAAGTAGTTGTAAAGAAACAATTATACAGATGTTTAGAAGCTGTACATAAACATTATATAGATGTTTGAAGTGTAGTTGTAGAGAAACATTATACAGATGTTTGAAGTGTAGTTGTAAAGAAACATTATATAGATGTTTGAAGTGTAGTTGTACATAAACATTATATAGATGTTTGAACTGTAGTAGTAAATAAACATTATATAGATGTTTGAAGTGTAGTTGAAAAGAAACCTTTTACAGATGTTTGAAGTGTAGTTGTACATAATCATTATACAGATGTTTGAAGTGTAGTTGGAAAGAAACATTATATAGACGTTTGAAGTGTAGTTGTACATAAACATTATACATATTTTTGAAATGTAGTTGTAAAGAAACATTATACAGATGTTTGAAGTGTAGTTGTACATAACATTATGATGATATTTTGAGGACTAATTTTTTTCAGGCGAAACTGACTGAAAATAACTTGTACCGTGTACTGGCGATGCTCTCTCCAGATGAAGATGTGTTTCGAGGCGTCTCCAGTTTCCTTTACATGTTCGCGCTAGCTGTCCATCGTGACTACTGTGGGCACGGTCTCGCAAGCAGGCTGGTGAAGGTAATTAGTCTTTAGAAATCAAGTTTAGAAATAATTGTATGTTGAAGCTCACAACTTTTGTTCAGTGATAAGAAATGTGTCTCCATCCACGGCTTTTCACTAAACATTTCTACCTACACAGGTCCCAGGCCAAAATTCATTCCAGAGTTCTCTTGCACCCATATTATATCATGCGTTGTAATCTTATTTGGTGCCACTGATCGGTTAGTGTCGACTGGAAATAACCTCCCATCTCTGAACTGACACCCCTGCTTAGTAGGGGACAGCTCATTGCCCAACAACTGTTGCATTGTTAGAGAACTTCTGTAAGAGTGGTATTTGGCAGCAGCTGAAGTTGGGTGCAAGCTTTCCAGTTGGAACCCTGCTGCGGAGACCGAGGTTCTGCTGACAGGAGGTAACGATAATTGTCCATACAGTAGAAATATTACAGTTCACCCACACACGCAACTCATCATGAGTAAAGTCCAGTTGAGGAAATGTATTCAACACTCTCCAGCCAATCCGTTCTTTTTACCAACGTTATACAAGGATGAAACAGTGGCACAACCCGTGATGGCTTGCACAAACATAAGATGGTTCTTGACTGTGAGAATGATGGATTGCTGAATTTCATGAATGCTGTAGACCAGTGGTTCTTAACCTTTTTACTACCACGCCCCCTCTAGGAATTGGTCCTTCCCTCCACGACCCCCTTGCATCTATGAATAAAATTCCCTCCCAGATTTTAAAGAAAAATGAAAATAGACTTGCTGAGAGCGGTTGTATGTACCGAGAATGTAGACGTCATAGCAATCACCGAAACTTGGATGAATCTGGCGAGCAAAATTTTTTTATCAGAGTACCACATAGAAGGGTACAACATTTTTCACAAGGACAGGGAAGGTAGGAAGGGGGTAGGGGTCGCACTCTTCGTCAAGGATACATTAAAATGTTGTACTAATAATTCAATAAAGGGTGAAATAGGAACCGAGTCTGTGTGGGTAGAAATCACGGAAGGAAGAGAAAAACTAATTATGGGAGTGATTTACAGGCCCCCAAGTCTTGGCAAAGTCAACCCCGGATGACTTGAATAATCCTGCTACTCTTTTTGTAGAAACTCTGAGAGATAATTTTCTGTTCCAACATGTGAGAGCCGACACACATTACAGGGAACAAACACCCAAATATGACCTCATCAAAACATTGTGCAAACAATGGTTGGGCATTCATTGATAACTGGCAACGATTCTATGGCAACGACTACCTGTACTGTCGCGACGGAGTACACTTGTCTCGTGAGGGGGTAAAGACGTTGTCTGCATCCCTGGAGCGTGAAATTGTCACTCCAAAGGGGGGGTTTCGCCAGTAGAGAGGGGTCGGGGAAAGTGGGAGTCAAAAAACAAGCAGGTCCTGGGAAGTAAAATTAGTTGCTCAGGACAAGGGGTAAAACAGGACCAGGGAAGAGTAGGTTTAAATGTATACTATACAAACAGTAGGAGCGTTAGAAATAAAATAGACTTGCTGAGAGCGGTTGTATGTACCGAGAATGTAGACGTCATAGCAATCACCGAAACTTGGATGAATCTGGCGAGCAAAATTTTTTTATCAGAGTACCACATAGAAGGGTACAACCTTTTTCACAAGGACAGGGAAGGTAGGAAGGGGGAGGGGTCGCACTCTTCGTCAAGGATACATTAAAATGTTGTACTAATAATTCAATAAAGGGTGAAATAGGAACCGAGTCTGTGTGGGTAGAAATCACGGAAGGAAGAGAAAAACTAATTATGGGAGTGATTTACAGGCCCCCCAAGTCTTAGCAAAGAAGCAGCTCAGCCCATATGGCAGGAAATGAGTAGGGCAGCAAAATATAACAACCTATGCATTATGGGGGATTTCAACTTCAGAAATATTGACTGGGACAACATTGTAGGCGACTATGAATCTGAAGACTTCCTAGACGCAGTACAGGACAATTTTTTGAAACAACTAATTACAGAACCTACTAGAGGTGACAATATATTAGACCTAGTATTAACAAATAAAGAAAATATTATCAGAGATATCACAGTAGGGGAAGAACTAGGTAACAGTGATCACAGAGAAATCAGGTTCACCCTAAATTGGGAAACGAAAAACAATGACAATATGGTCAGAGTCCCAAACTTTCGGTTGGCGGATTATCAGGGGTTAAGAAGGTACCTAGGTGAGGTCACCTGGGAACAGTCACGTCAGTCCCCAGTAGGAAGTGGTGAGGTCATAGATGACACAACAATTGATCATGACTATAATATATTCACCAGTATACTACATAAAGCACAAGAACAAAATATACCATACAGAAAAATTAGGTCAAATAAGAATGAGCCAAGGTGGATGACCAGAAAACTTAAACATGACATAGGAATAAAGAAAGGAATATATAAGAAATTAAAGGGAGGGGAGGAGCAGCTCAGAAACAGGTATAATGAACTATCTAGGAATGTTAAGAAAAATGTAAGGAAAGCAAAGAGAGACTATGAAATCAAAATAGCAAGAGAATCCAAGGCGAATCCCAAGGGATTTTTCCAGGTATATAGGACAAAGGTCAAGGACAAAGTTGGGCCTTTAAAGTCAGGGAGGGGAGAATTGATAAATGGCAGTGAAGACATGAGCAAAGCATTGAACAGCTACTTCTTATCAGTTTTCACAGAAGAAATTTGCGATGAAATTCCGGAGGTGGAACTGATATTTAAGGGAAAGGAAGAAGAGAAATTAAAGAATATCACTATCAGAAAAGAGGATGTTCTTAAGAAGATAAATAAACTAAAGAACACAAAATCCCCAGGGCCGGATGAAATTTTTCCTCGAGTCTTAAAAGAGTGTAGGGAACAGATTAGCGGACCCCTCGTAAACTTATTTACAAAATCATTAGACACTGGAGTTGTGCCAGAGTTGTGGAAACAGGCGAATGTAGTACCCATATTTAAAAAGGGAGACAGAGCATCAGCGTCAAATTACCGGCCGATCAGTTTGACGTCAGTAGTGGGGAAATTTCTTGAATCAATTATAGCAGATAGCATCCGATCGCATCTAGAGAAAAGCAAATTAATCTACGACTCTCAACATGGGTTTACAAAGGGAAAATCTTGTCTAACAAATCTGCTAACGTTTTTTAGGAAAGTCTTCGAGGTAGTAGATAATGACGAGAATTACGATGTTATTTACTTGACTTTAGCAAAGCATTTGACAGAGTACCGCATCAGAGGCTTCTGAGAAAAATTAAGGCTCATGGTATCGAGGAGAAAGTTTTAAATTGGATAAAATCATGGCTCACACACG